CGAAGAAGAAGAAGTTCTTCGTAAATGAACCCTAATCCCAAATCTTTGAAACAACGTCGTTTTACACTGATTATTTACAAAAAAAAATGACAAAATCAAATCAGAGTCAATAATGTGGTCAACGTTTTATTCTGTTAACGGCAAATTAACTCCGTCCTACGGGTTAGTAAATCTGTTTACGGTTTGTGTAAATCGGCAAAATGTTTGTAGATCATGTAGTAAATTCAAAATTAAGTGTAGTTCGTGTGGTTTTTCGCCGATGTTAATAGTTCATGGATAAATTGTCGGGAACCCAATATTTCATGGGGGAATTGGCCGTTTTTCCAATCAAACTCACGGAGAAGGAATTTTTGTCGACGAAAAATAAAACACATAAATTAATTATATTAATACCCCATTTAGAGTTTTTTGTTTTGTTTTCCATTTAGATTTAGTGATGATACCTTCGAGAGATCCGGCAAGGCGGAGAGCGTCGATGGCAATGGGGGTGACTTCTGTGCCGATGCCGTCACCGGGGAGGACGGCAATGTTGTACTGTTTCTTCGGTGTGCTGGCGGAACATCTGATCCTACTAACCCTTGTGGTTTGTTTGGTAACGGGACTAAATGAGACCGATGATTTGATACCGCTTACATGGATCTGAAGTGCTGATACCATTTTTGGAATTTGGATTAGAGAGTAAAGAGATGTTTTGTTGTTAGGAAGCGCTAATACAAATTAATGAAGATCTGGCTTTGTTATATAAGTAGAGAAATGGAGGATATGGGATATACATTGGCATTAGGGTTTCTTCGACTCTACAAGTGCACGTGTTTTTTTTTATTTTTAATATCACTATATACTGTAGAAGAATATTAAAATCGTCATCTTTTATCGGTCTTTTGCTTTGCTGCTGTTGTTGTCGTCGTCGTCAAGTATCTTTATTATTAATTGTATAATTTTTGGTCACATGTAATGACGTGTTTGTTATTATTCATTTTATCGTTGATACGGAAAAAATGAATAATATTGTTAGTAGTTCGAAATTAAAATCCCAAACAACT